ATCCGCGGAGCAGCGTGATATCTCTGCTGCGAAGTGCGGAGTTATGATCACACAGGCAAGTTAGACATCTCGTTGACTGTGCGCTGAGCCTCCAGCCGCGAAACCTCAGGAATCGGTTTTCCACAAGCTCTCATGGCTCTAAGGTGTAGTTCTGCTATATACGTTTGTTCGAGTAATTTGGTGTAGTGTGTACTCGTGCTTGACAAAGAAGAAAATGTGGGAGTAGGGTTTGACTGTTGTGTGTGTAGCAATCGAGCTCGAGTAGTATGGAGTAGAATGTATCTGTGGCGATAGGTGCTGTGTAGTGTAACGACTTCGAATATTAACTATTTCCTTTATCCAATATCCATTATCATTTCAATTATGCTACGAATGTGATGATAGATGTGTATGTGAGTTGTCTTGTTAAAAAATGCATACCAAGGCACAATACCAGCGTATGCACCTAAACCACTAAAAACAAGATACAATTCACATAATCAGGAGTGAGGAGAAGAATATAGAACAACACACAATGAAAAAGCCAACAGACACAGCATATTCTCATAATATGTATAATTATAACCAGCTATCTAATATCATATTACATGTCCAGTTGAACTTTATCATATAATAATATATTTATCATAATAATAATGTGCACTATATAACTATATCCTAAATTTCTGTTCAACCAATACATGTTGAGCTGTAGTAGCTAACCCAGGACAAACTGAGAACAAATCTGCTGTCATCCCTAGAGTGTGGCGTCAATGTGTGGAGTTTCCGAGCTCGAGTAAAATGAATTATGTCTAATAAGGATTACTGATATACTATTCACATACAGTACAAGTATATTCCTACAATACAAAAAGAACATATAAGCAAAACCACATCCAATCAGAAGAGATAACCAACAAGAAAAAATATCCAGCAGACCAATAAGAGATGATAAACATAACCTAAATCCTGCGTGACTAGTCCTTTCTACACAGCTCCAGGTGACTAGGTTTCCGTCAGCGAACGACATAATGAAGCCGAAATGAATCGACTTCCATTTGTTATTCACTAAATCCCTCTAACGGAACTTAGGTGAAGATACAAGTTGCTTCACGGCACTTAATAACTATGTAAAAGAATCATACATCCTATACTCACCCTTGTGGTACTGTGTAGTCGTTTATGTCTATATTCAACATATACATAATCACGACATCCACAGAGGATCTGCGCTCATATATGCATATATATTCACTAAGTACCTTTACCTAATATTCCTCTGTCCATATATCACTAATGCTCCTAATCGCCATGCGTGCGTAAGTTGCCCCAAATATATCAATTCATTTACGTTGTGTTCACACTCGTGCTTTAAAGTAGACAACTCTGCGTGCGTGAGAGAGCAACTATTAACCATAAGAGAACGCTTCAGACCACTATAATTGACGTCGGCTAAACTGTAATATAGTAACTAAAATATACGCATGTCGTTAATTATTTCCATGTCGTGACCATGAGATGTATTCTGGATTCATTCCGCTAATAATTATAGAAGTATTTTATAAGCTCACCCGCTAGACAATTATTAGAAAGTAAAATACGCTTAGCCGATAGCTAAGTTGCCTCTCTTATATAATCATGTAATCCTCTCAGAATTAAATGTTCCACATCAGTATACCATGTAGTGTTAAGTCTATTCTCTCTTATCTCACGAGAGTATTCATTTGCGAATTATTTATTCATTGAGCATAGTGCATCACATCTGAACTTATACCTGACTCCGTATTCTCATAGTGTGATAGATTCACTCATATTCGGGACTCCGACATGTTAAACAATGCTTAGAGAATTCTACTAAAAGAATGGAATATACGTTTACTCAAACACATCCCAGCAATAAACTAAAAAGCACAGGAATTGGAAAGCTAAATTCTAATCTATCCCTCGGCGTGAAGACACAAGCACTATCATACGAGTACTATTTCGGGTCACTTTGTGCTAAGATAATCGCACCTTATAGTAACCTAATTAATATATTATATGGAACACGCGTTCAGAGACAGGCGAGTGAGCTGTGTCCTGCACTCCGTCGCCGATCAATCGCAACGCGACAGTGCACGTAACCCGACAACCACTAAGGCGTTGGTATCCAATGATGTTGACACCGGAGCGTAAGATAGCATGAGATTTGAACAGCTGCTACTAAGAGGAAAGAAAATTAATACTAGGTGTCTCTTCCACATATCTACGATATATATTCGCACTAGCGAGGGCGTGCATACTAGTATTACTAGACTATGGGATTTTGTATATTTCTAGGAGTTCGACATTTATTTTCGATTGTTCATCAAAGATGTATGGATAATACATCTGTACGTTAATCAAAAGTAGTGCTTGTAATAGTATAGTAAAAGAAGAGCAAGGTGAAACCGACGCTAATGCAGGTGAGCGTAGTCCTGTGTTATGGAATTGTGAAGTCTGTTATGGTCTGTGATGTAGGTGGTTAAATTGCCGAACGTAATACATTAATATAATGCTGTGTTCCTTAAAGGTGCCACTAGATGAATATCGAGGGCTAAGATTACTAACAGAAGAATTGCCTACATTTTTCTTAATGAAATAATATCACGGAAACAAGTGTGAAATGGAAGAATTACCTCGAGTGCAACAAGCGTCAGTGTAGTAGAATGTGAAGTGTGTTAGGAGTCAGTATATTGATAATAAAAATGTTTTTGTTATGTATTTATCAGCACAACATATGTGCAATCGAAGTACAATGTTTTGGACACGTCAGCTCATACACGGACGGCAATTGATCATAGGTTAGTGTTGGATTCCGAGTTCGGACGGACTATCTTAACATATGCAATATAGTAGGTTTATTAGTGCGTTGAGACCACCACCATCACATACGATGCCCTGATCAGGAGAGGGCATAAAGGTATAAAATGGTATGAGTAACACAGAATCAGCAGTCTATAATGGTTATATGTAGCCGAGCGGCTGTAGCTCCCTGCAATCACACCATAGCGGACGGCCGGCGAGACTACCCCAACCCCTGCCCAGGATAAGCAAAGAACTCCATCCAGCAATTCACCCGCAAACAGAACAACGTGAACACATCACATCTGGGGAGCGCCGATTGCCAAGTCATGAGGTCTGAACGACTTTCTCCTGCGCATAATACATGTCGGCGATCTGTCTTCTTGCAGGTTCGAGCGGTGACTAGTTCCACCATAGGGGTTACAGGGCAGACAGCCCTTGGGATCAGGACCAAGAGTAATATCAGAGCGAGACTGATTCTTGTGTATGATAATATCAACTACATTGTAACCCACAATTGCCCTAGTCCTAGCGTCCTTCAATGCCTCCCTCAACTGCTTAGTCGAAGGGCAAGAATGTGTAGTATCAGGGCTGTTGCTGCTACAATAATTTCGAGTAGTATGCTGGAAACAAGGAGTCAGTAAGAGAAAAATCCAGTGAATACTACAAATTGGGTTAGACCAATCAAACTTGTAAGGTGGATGAATTCCGAAAAATACACAAGTTTGAAATTTTCCAGAATATAGTCTTGTAATGAAGTATGACCTTTCTAAGAATATTGGCTCTCCGAGCTGAATGGTAAATGGAAGAGATGATTGTTAAGTGGATCTTGTGGTGAACTAAGGAACTAAGGGAGCGTCTTCAGATCATTTCCCAGGTCAAATCTACAATTATCCCAGTTATAGAGTAATGTCGAAGACGTACACCAGATTCATTCTAGCCGGAGTAAATGATAGTCCGACCCTGTTTACGCGTGCCCATGAACAGGAGAATAAGATTGGTTCCACTACTTCAGAAGCAAGCTGTTTCGCAAGGTGAGAAAAAAGAAAGGACAGATATGACCTTGACTTTCGAGTAATTAACAGATAAATATGCGAGAAAATATCAACCAACAGATGGATTGGCTCAATACTATAAGACTCTCTGTAGACTGTAACCTATACCACCTTGCGGGCAGCAACGAGAGAGAGATTGAAGTGGGAAATCACCTTACTGTCTGTGAAGTGCGTGAGCGACAAGCTCCGTGTTTTCAACCAGTCTTAGTGGTCTATATTAGAGCCAGCTCCCTGTAAGTTCACATAATATGTATACATGTACTAGCATATCAGTTAAGTTTCCCCAATGGAGTTGATGGTCAAATATAATGGTACCAGTGATATACAACTTCTAACAGGGCCCTCAAATTGAACTTGTTAAGCTAATGTTAGACATATTGAGAGCCACAAGAGTAGATATAGCAGTTGCGTGGGAATCAGTAGTGTTTGTTTGCTTTTTGCAATAGCAAACTTGACATATATGGTATATTTTAGTCTGCTGTGTAGATGTTCTCAGAATTTCATCGACATAGAATTCTCAACCACCCACGGCGGCCCCGATTAGAGTTATGCGCCCTCCGACTCAAAGCGACCTGCTTCTCGTTGTTGTTATGCGCAGAAGCTTAGTTTCTGGCGGGACTAGGACTCTGGAACTCAGAATGTCAAAGGCCCGAGTGCTCCGTGTGCGTGCCATTCTCCCTGCGCTGATCGTGATCGTTACAGCACCCACCGTCGAAGCCTTTCCATACCCCTTATTCCTATAGCGACAATCTCATACCAATATAGTACATTGAACAGAAGCCTAAGGGCCGTGACGCATACGTACACTTACTTATCCTAGAGTAGATCCTTCATCATCACCGACTTCTTTCCGATTCCGCCTAAGGGCTCTTCGTATCTTCTTCATCCCTTCTTCCTGTCTCTCTCTTTCTGTTATACTTTCTCATCCCCTCTTCTTCTGTCCCTTCCTAAGTGAGAGCTGTATTGAAAAGATGAAAGGCTCACTTTGTGTCAGTCAGTGAATGGCCTCCGGAGCCATGGGCTCCTTTATTGTCTATGTCCGACCATATCGACCCCATCCCTGTCAATGTCAGAAATGTTGCTGTTTTGGCCACCCAGCCAAATACCGTTGCTCCACATCTTGCTGCCCTCTATGTGCCCAACATGGTCATGACTGTTCAAATTGCCCTGTATAGTCACGTACCTGTGCCAACTGTGGTGACTCCCGTTATGTATTTTATAGGAGCTGCTCTGCATATAAGCTCAAATGTGAGGTAGCAGTTCTCAGATTCAAATTGGCCTCACTCTTTGTGAGGCTAGGCAGGAAGCACGATGATGGTTTTTCTCTCTACCTATTCCAAAACAGTCCTTCGCTCTTTCTCACCTGGATACTCGTATGTATCCCTTCTGTTGCAACAGTGTTCTTCTCCGGATTCCTACCCATCTGACGCTTTTCCTGATACCTCACCTCCTTCCCCAGTCCCCTTATCTCATCCCCTAGACTCTTCTGATACTGCTCTAACAGCCATCTCTACCTGTATTCATCGTTGATTATTTCATAACCTATTTTACCAGTTTTTCCTTAACTCACTCACGACGGATGTCCCACATATGAGACACCAAGATCACTTTATCATGCATTGATATAGAGATATTTATAAAAAAAATTTCATATGCAGAGCAGTGATGGCAGACCTGACCAACATTCTGAAGAAGGTGAAGGCGGGCCAAGTGGATAGCCTTCAGGACAATGTCAGAGTAAGTGAATTACGATAATGCATGGAATATGTGTGCTTGGTTAGATATCTGTTTCACTGCCCTTAAGAACTTTTTTAAATTTTAGCTATGAAGGCCTGTGATGACCTGTTGATATCTCTTGTTTCAGGTATTATTATCTACATGCAATGGGAGTGCAGAGAGTCAGCAGATCCTCCGACACTGTTCCAGACTTGTTTATGAACAACAGGACATTGATGTTCAAGTTTTCTCAGGCATCGTGGATATTGTGAATATTTGTTGCAAACACCAGCAAGGCCCTGCAACAGTTGATGCAATATTCCACCTCAAATCCATGTTTTATGTTATACTTATTACTTCAAAGAGAAAAGTATGTATTGCTAGGTCACCTGATTTTAATTTACAGTACCAAATGTATATACAGTATACATGTTTTATGAATATGATTGATCAACATATCTTAATACTTTGAAGCTGTTGTGAAAATTTATGTAGTGGAGAGACATATCTTTCTTCTTCTCTTGCAGGAGTTACATCGGCATTTGATACAGTTAGTGTCAAGTGTCATGCCATATGTGCCACAGTGTGACACAACCAAGGGTGATGGACAGGCCATTGTCAAGAATTTGTACCAGAGTGTTTGGAATGCAAGTCTGAGCCACAATATACCTGCTGAGGCCTTGATGCTCCAGGGATATGCTTTACAATTCCTCTTGGCTGCAGGAACAAGCATTAATAAAGTGTGTGAACAAGCTCTGAAGGCTGTTGCTAATTTTGAGCATGTTCAAAAAACATCTGATCACCTCGAGAAGTTCTTCCCAACTGTTATTTCTGGTCTTTTGGATAACATGAAAAGGGGCGCTAAAGTGAATGGAGATACGGTGCTGTCCGTGTTCGGTCTTGTGGTAGAGTACGCCAAAACTCTCCTCAGACTGAATAAATGTGCAGATTTCAGTGGCATAGCAGGTCCTCTTGTAGCTGTTCTTGAGCAGAGCTGTGACCAGCAGACTGTCATGGCACTCAAAGTAGGCTTGAAGCTGATGGAGTTGGCTATGGCCATAAAGTTGGGAAAGCGCGGTGAGGATATGATGATGAAGTTCCTCCAGTCATGCAGCGTTGTGTCGTCTTCATTAGTGCCGAACATGATCTTACTCCTCAGTCTTCTCTGCACTACTGCCATGTTTGAACAACAGCGTGGTAGAGATGTCACAGTAAGTATACTGAAATTTTGTGTATTCTTGATGTATGTTTTTTTTCTTCTATTATTGATATAATGAATGTTTTACATTAATTTTGGTGAAATCTGAGCATTAGGTAATATTTTCATTTGTCTGGTATCTCTTTGTAAATTTTGGAACAATTGATAGTGGCACATTATAAATATCTTATATGAAAGTTCACTGACTGATGATAGATCTGGTATAAGATACTTCTGCTTTTTCATTTGTTATTTCTCATCATTAATTTACTTTAGTTGGGCTTGCTGTTGTTTACAAAGATATAATTTTTTGTGCAATAATGAAATGATAATGGATATTGGATAAAGGAAATATTAATATTGAGTGTTAATCCTATGCCCAGATATTTTCCTTTGATGTTGTAAGTCAAACCTACTAATTTTCTCTTGTCAACAGTATATGATAAGTATGCAGCTCTTAGACAAACTTGTGGAAACCCTTCTCAGTCGGTGCAGTTCACCATTAACTGATGAAAATGTGAAGAAGGTAAGGAAATCATACAGTGAGAATAGTTGTAAGTTATCAAGCCATATAGTGTGATGTTTGTACAAAATAGAAGCCTAAAATACTGATGCATATACAAAATATTACTGTGATGTATTTAGATTAATTAGAAATATGGTTAAATATGAATTCATATGAATCTTTGTACACCTGATCATATTGTCGTTAGACATCAACATAAGAAACCAAGATAAGAAAAACGGCATGACCTGTAATTTAGACTCTAATTGTAAAGCCAAACCATTTTTGCTCTTAGGTAGCTACAGTCCTGTGTCAGCAGTTGGGCTTTTATGTCGACCTCCAGAAGAATTCCGCTGACCAGAAAGCTGTCCTGAAGCAAGCTCTCCCCTGGGTCAACAGGGCCAATTCCTTCATCTCTGCCAACTGTGCCAAGAAGCCAGATGCTATATGGCAGATTTATAATGTTGGTTAGTGTCGTTGGAAATGTTTCAGGTTTGAAACTCAAGCCTATCTACTTGTGCATTCCAATGGCTGAAAATTTTTAAACTTGTAATTATAAGCTATGCCACTGTGACTCATCAAGTTTTAATTTTCAGGTGTCAATGCTGGAAATTTGGGAGTTCTGGCATTTAAGGGAACCATATACAATATAGCAGGAAAGTTTCTTGAAACATCTGTGGACATGCTTGATATGTATTACAGCATGGCATCAAATGATCAAAAAGTAAGTTTCTTACAAAATTGAAGTATCATCATGAATGTGCTTCATTTTAGCTTAGGAAACCAGGGTGACTTCAGAAATTGAAATTCATTGTCAGAAAATATAATCTTGATATACCATACTATATTCAAGTGCCACATATCAGAAAAAGTCCTCCAGAGGACAGAGTATATAACCTGTCTACTTTTTCTCTCTTACAGAAGACTGTTGCTACCTCCCTCCATAAGAAGCTGGTGTTATGGAGTGATGCACTGAGGTATAGTGGTTGTCACTGGGATGCTGCCGTGGCTGCAGGAAGAGGCATGCTCAGAAAACACTTGACCACAACAGACCTTGTTAACATGTGGGTCAAGTGTAAAAGGGATGCAGAAAGAACAGGCAATAAAAAGTTGAAGGTCTGAATTTCAGATTTTTTTTTTTTTTTTTTTTTTTTTTTTTGTTTTTTTTCTTATTGAAATTGTACAGTTGTGAAATATCCTCTTTCTTTTTTGAAATTCAATTTACTCATCAATGGATGATTGAACTATGTAATAACTTCCTATTTTGATGTTTGTAACAGGGATTAACAGTATGTGACGTGGTAGGTGAAGCAAGAAGAAAGTTCCATGAAACAGAAGGGGCCACCTTTAACAAAACTGAAGCTCTTAAATATGAAATTGAGAGCTACAAAAAACAAAGGTAAATTTTGTATGGTTTTGATTAATGAAAAATTATAACATTTTAATTTTGTTAGAAATTAATTGGTTAATTTTTTTTATACATATATGGGTCTTTTTTATGTGTATTTTTTATTATGATGTTTCTGTTAGCTTTTACAGACTTGGAAGTATTTTTTCTTCATTTTTCTATTGCTTTCTTATATCTCTAAAAGTTAACAGAAACATTAAAATTAAAAATCCACATATACAAAAGAGACTGTAAGAAAAGGAGAAACACAAATATCCTTGGAAAATATGTTTTTCATTTATGTTTTTTTTCTCTTCATTTTTGTGTTTGATTTCTAACAATGTAAATGAAAAACCCCTCTTCAAATGATATTTGTATATCCTTTCCTTATGGAGAGTTTGCACTATCCAATATTTATTATCCCACTTTTCCAACCCTACCCAGCCAAAACACAGCAGATGACCAGCTCTCCTGTGGAAGAGTCCTGGTGGAGGAGTGCGAGGGTGGGAAAGACGCTTACGAGGCTAAGGTCTATGGGCTCCTAGTGATGGTGGAAGTGCTCTGGATCCAACCCGAGCTTGCAGGATCCAGTAGTGAGGCTGTAGACTTGGTCAAGAAAGCTATTGCTCTCATTCAGGAGGCAAAGGTCAGTTTCCAAATTGAAAGTTTTGACAAGTCATGAGGGGATCTTGGTGGTAAGACTTCAAAATGTAGATGCCTGGTCTAAGAATTGAAGATTTTTAACATAAATGGGTTGCTAAAAGGTAGGGGAAGATGATTTATACAAAAAGGAATTAATCTGTTTTTTGTCTTACCCACAGCTTATCTTTATTATGAATATGAATGAAGTTCATGTGTATTATGATAATGAAATGTTATTATTTTTCTCCTTATAGAATAACAAAAGGTACAGCAGCAGACTCGCAGAGTTGGAAGCCCTATCAAACTTCTGGCTCTACCTTTGCAACCTTCAGCGGATTCAAGAAACTGCAGCTGTGAGTTGACACTTTATGTACTGGTACCCCCTAAATTACCCGAAGAATTGACTTTGGGAAAGGTAAATTAGAGGTATACCACAGATTTGCGTCATCTTTTTCATACTCTTCCAGATTGGATGTGATATTCTTCAGTAAAAGTATTTACTTAATCTGATCATATCAAGTGTGTTTACAGATGCATGACATACAGTTTTCATGGAACATGACTCGTAAAACCATTTTCTGTGATATGATTTCATCAACTTACGAAAATATACAATATTTGATATGTGTGGTATATGAATATATTTAGTGTACAGAATTTAAGTATATGGTTTAATTTAGGACACTAAGATTTGAATTATGTAATAATTTTTATGACACCACAACCAAATCTGATTCTAAAAATGAAGCTAAATCCTCATTAAATAAAGCCGTTGACGAAGAAACTGGCAATTGGTAGCCAGTAACTTGCATCAGTTTTACAAGCACTATACCATCAGGCCCTCATTTATAGGAAGAAGTGAAGGAGTCTGAGAAGCCTTCTTCCCTGACAGTCCAAGCAACTGACCTTGGGGAAGAAGAGCAGGTCAATGATGCCTGTGATGTGCGCCCGGCCCCCACCTGCTTGACCTTATACTCGCAGGAATCCTCCTTTGCTCCCCTGCACTCTGCACTCAGGATATGGGAGGAACTCTCTTTGAAGGTATTTGGAACTTCAAGAATATGATTCTCATGATTTTTAAGTATCCTTTCATTTTTATGTGTTTGTGTGGTTAGGGAAAGGTTCATCTTCAAGAAGTGGCTGTTGTTACTTGTTGATTAAGTGGAGGGAAGTACTTAAGGAGATTTAAAAATATTTATCCTTCACTTTTTCAGGGGGAAGCATTGGAGGATGTGGCAACTGTATGTTCTTGCCTTGCTTCTGTGGGATATGTGTATCAACTGAGTGGCTTTATCACACCCACTGTGCGAGCCTGGACAACTCTTGTTTCTGTGGCACGAAAGAACTCCTTACGGACATATCTACTGAGAGGTAATAGACAGATTTTTTGTATTATCATCTTTGTTTCTTGATATGATTTGTATTACAAGTTTGGTTATCATTGTTTTTTTTATTTAACCCCAGCACAAATTATACTAGACAGCACACAGCACAAATCATACTAGAAAGGCTAAACTAGGTGTAATAATTATGTCAGAAAATTCTGGCCCTGTCATGATACGGTTAAATGTATATTGTTTGAGATACCCATATAATGTCTGTGCCTTAATGTCATATACAGGGTATCAAAAGATGACAAGGTATTGTTTTTAAGCCATTTTCTTGTCCTGAGATTTTGGGAGAAATCAGTGCTGATCCTGGTGTCCCCCCCAATCTTTTGCTCGCTATCGTTTTTAAATTATGGCTTTGGCTTTGGTTCCACGTCAAAAGGCTGGCTTCTGCCTTGACAGTTGGCTAAGCATGGAGTCATATTTTCAGGTTGTCTATTTCAGTTCAATAAAACACCAAATATTACATATACTATACCTTACCTTCAAACTTCTTTTTGAGAAACATCAGTTATACATTAGAGATAATGGTAATGTACCTATGTGTTCCTAGGTAAGAACTCCCTCACTTGTTAGAGCTTGTACGGTGCCTCATAAAAGTACTACTGCCTCGGTAAGGTGCAAGGTATTAATATCTCACTCATTTGCAAAGGCTTATTAAGTTTGAATTAATTTTTTTCTAACTGGCTATTTACAACTGGGAGACTGTGACATCAAGCTGATTATTGACTTTGTAAAGCTCACATAGCTTTGGCTTTTGTGTTTTTAAATGTTTCCCTGGCTTCTGCCTTGGGTTTGGCTTCATTATTTTTCAGGGATACTGGCTTTGATTTCAGGGCTTTTGAAAGACTTCAGCTTCTAAGCCCTATGTCTGTGTGTAAATGACTGTCCCAATAAGATAAGAGAAGAGAATTTGGATGTTTAGGGTGATCTTTGTTGTGTGATGTTAAAGTACTGAAGAAAACAGTGTTACTCTGTGACCATATGTTTTCTAGGTGTGACAAGTATGTTACTTTATGTTGGGTAACGTACCTTTGAACTACCTAGTTTCCTGTGGACCAATTCTTTCCATATGTATTTTGTTGTATGGTAAGTTGTCATTAGTTTCAGATATAACATCAAAATTCGTTTTATCATTATTATAAAACAGTTTTTAAGAAACTTATCAGAGGAGTAAGTAGATGATGAATGCCAAAAATGTAGCTTTAGAGTTCATAAAGATGTAAAAATTCTCCCCTGCATCAATGAAGAAATGGAAAATGGTATGAATTAGGCCGTCATTTCCTGCAATAAAAGGTGGTCATCATAGAAGGACAAAGTTATAATGCTTAATTAAAATTTTGATTTTCTTAATAAATATTTGCTCCCTATATAACAATGTTATTTGTTACATTCCAGGTATAACAGAGTTGTTGCTTGTGGTGCCTGAGTTAGTCCCGAAAGAACTAGTAAAAGAGGCCAAGGAGGCCATTACTGCATGCCAGGCTAGCAGTAACCAGGATCCATCTGTAGTGTATGTGACCCTGATTGCTATCACAGCACTTGCCTACTACTATCTCAAATTGGGTCAGGTATGTATGCATTTTTGGAAGGTTTTATTGGTAGAGTTTAGTTCAAGGTTTGAATTGTTCATTTTTTAAATTCGAGGTAAGTTCAAATTAAAATATTAAGTGATAGGTGATGAAATTGGTATTGAATAGGAACACTTACAGAAATGTTTTGTCTAGAAAAAGTAATTTTATTTTTACTTTTGCATTGAAATGAGAAATGAAAAGTAAGAAAATGTAACCGCAAGAACACAAAAAAAGTTAGTGTGCTAGTACTAAATAGTAAAATGTGACCATTTTATGCTATTTTTCCAGTACAGTGAAGGAGTCTTGTACATGTCTGAAGCCCTTAAGAGTGATGTAATGGATAAGCGGACTGTCAGGGCCACTGAAGCTCAGACGATAGTGCACTTTGTAGCCTCCATGTATGCAGGCCTTCCACACTGGGTCTTGGAGGAGGCTAAGAAACCTTCCCAGCCAAGCATATCACTAGCTCTTTTGGCATGCCGTGAGGCGAATGCACTTGTGGAGTCATACGCAACTTCATCTAGTAATGGTTAGGTGCATGCATTATTTCTGTAATATGTTTATGCTCTGCAAAGTTGGAAATAAGAATTAGGAGATTTGTCTTTAAATTTGAATTCTATCTAAACAGAGTCATGATCATTTTACAATACACCACAGATATAATCTGCTGGCGGCATCGAGTAGCTTGGCTTCATTTAACAACGACAGTTTGGTATGGCGCAAACCAGTGTTACATCCGGGATGTTCTCCTCCGTGTTGCCGGTGTCTGTTCTCGTAGTCGGGACGACCTCATCACAGCGCGGCGGAGGAGAGGGAGCGGGAGGGGGTTAGAGGGGGAGGAGAATGGCGGGAGAATAGGCCGGATGGAATATGGAGGGGTTTAAGCAGAGGGGAGAGAACCTTAGGGAGCGCGAAGGAGGACGGATCGCGGAGGCGGGTTATGCAGAGGAGGAGAAATATTTACGTNTAAAACAGCCACCGTTTCACTTTCGATTCGATCAACGACACGGAAGAGCGGTCCACATAAAAAAAAATAATAATAATAAAAAAAATCCTGTCCATATTCGCAAAATCATGGCGACCCGCACCCGCCAGACCAGGTGGCCGAACAGAGACCTTAAGCGATCCATTTACTTCTGCTAATTCTTGCTCGCGACAGGCCCCCCTCCTCCCCCTACCCTGTCCCCCCTCCTTTTCCCTCCTCCCCCCTGCCCCCCTCCTTTCCCCTACTCCTCCACTCCCCTGCCCCCCTCCTTTCCCTACTCCTCCTGCCCCCCTCCTTTCCCTACCTCCCCCCTGCCCCCCTCCTATCCCCTACCTACCCCCCCCCCCTCCTTTCCCCTACTCCTCACCCCTACCTGCCCCCTGCCCCCCCTGCCCCCCTCCCCCTCAGCCCACTCCGCCCTCACTCGAGACAAGAGCTTCTGCTTTACAACTGTCTTGATTTGCGGTCTCAGGAACACAGCTGTTTTTATGTACGTGTGTCCGAGATCGGGTGCGCGTGGCTGCTCTCCTATAAATGGGCTTGTGCGTGTATGTGTTTATGCGTATGTGTAATTGTGTATATGAGTACGTTTGTGAGTTCGTATAGATTGTGCGCGCGTGTGAGCGTTTGAAGGGGGTGGGGGTCTCATTTTAAATAAATCTCGTGTGTGCATTGTGGGTTTTTCTACCATACTATCAACGTCGCAGTGTTTTAACATTCATAATATATATATATATATATATATATATATATATATATATATATATATATATATATATATATATAGATAGATAGATATATATATACACACACACACACATGGAAGATGGAATAGTGCACTACCGCATTGATATGATGATTTTTTTTATACACATACAAGTGTGTGTGCACATATTATATACATATTTATATACATACATACACACACATATATACATATATACTTATTTATTTATATATAATATATATATATTATATATATAATATATATATATATATATATATATATATATATATACATACATACACAAAATGTAATTCAAATTCATATTAGGAGCGACGGGCGACTCCGCCCCCGCCGAAACCCGCCGCCCGAGAGAGCGGCGGCCCCGCAGGTGTCGGACGGCGGCGTCGAAGGCGGCACAGCGGGCGTGATAAAAGTGGCGGCGGCGGCGACGTCGGGTTTACGAGGAGGCGTCACCGGTAGTGTCCCCGACCGCCGCCCCCCGCGCCTCATCCATCAGCCGCAGCACCTGCTTCGCCAACCCTTCTCCCCCCCCGCTGTGCCGTAACACCCCCCCCCCTCTCCGCCCGACCAAATCTCAGACGGACGAGCGAGCAAAAGGCTTCACGTCCTTGGCAGGAAGGGGGTTCGGCGCCTCCTCTAAAGTCCCTTCGCTCCTCTCTAGAGCAACGGGTGAGCGTGCTCGATACCTTATCGCCAGCGCACGTGTTATCTGTCCATGCGCTGTCTCGCCTGTCAAACGTGAAATACCTGTCATTCTCGACTGCCAAACAGCCCGAGAGGCAAACCTGTCCCCCAACAAGCCACACTGCCATGTGCAGCTGGCAAGGCAGCCTGCAACAACGAAACCCAACTCACCTCTCCTGCTGGACAGCCTCCTGTAGGACATGGTAGGACACGCGAAGGAATCCATAACAAATCTTCACTCTTTCCGCCCAGCACAGACACACATCAAGTACAGAACCGAATGGAACCCGAGAGGCGACCCGGCCCTAAAATAAAATCACCCAAAAAGCACAAAGGGCGTGAGGTGCTTTCCCCGGCTCGCCGCACCTTTCCCGCCCGCGTCCAGACCCGAAGTAACGCGCCGTACTCTCGGAACGCCATGACGACATCGCCGGGAAACGTTGTCGTACCTGTTGCACGCTCCGCGGCGTCTCGGCTCCGCGTTCTTATTTCCTCCCGCGGCCCTCGGCTCGTCCTCCGTCGACAGGTGCTTCGTCTCCGCGCCCAAACCGCAAGCAAACGCGGACCCGCGGGCCTCGCAGTCGCCCCATCGAAGAGAGAAGGCGAAAAGAACGAAGGAAGCTCGCCCGGACGATCCCGCTTGCTTCCCCACGCGAGGACCGCGCGAGAGGAGTCCGCCTCGGCGCACCAAGGGATGCAGCGGTCACGGTAATGTGCACGGGCGCCATACAAGTCACCTGTCCCGCCGGCGTGCAATGCAACATCTGGGCCTCGCGGTATGTTTAGCCTCCGTCACAAGGTTGTTGCCGCCTGCTGTGGCGCATGACCTTCGCATGGCTCCGATGACGGCAAACTGTACACAGAAATGCATGAACACACAGATATGTAAATGAATGAATGCATACCTAGACGCTAAGTGAGTGTGTGGGTTTGCCCCCCTCCCCCTTCGCCCCCCCTCTCTCTCTCTCTCTCTCTCTCTCTCTCTCTCTCTCTCTCTCTCTCTCTCTCTCTCTCTCTCTCTCTCTCTCTCTCTCTCTCTCTCTCTCTCTCTCTCTCTCTCTCTCTCTCTCTCCCTGTATGTACATGTGTGGGCGTCTTTAGCCATGCGTGGACGCCAGCCTAATGCTTGAAAATCTAACCCCACTGAACGGCCTGCCTCCTCGCCCGCTCCTCTTCCCTAAACAACCCTCTCCGTTCTCCCTATAACACACGACAGGCAAGTTCATCAACACCGAGCAAGCAACGTCCCGCAACCCTATATCCCGTGATAATCCGAGCCCGTGGTTGAGTGACGGCCGTTGCGAGTACATCGTCACGGCTGCCTTCTCCCAGAGCGGACTGTTGCTAATCCGAGGTTAGCCCTGATTCACATTTTCATTGAAGTTGAACTCTTCGTTTGATCCCCACGATGCGAGTGCGAGTGTGTGTGCGTCTGTCTTTTCGAACGTTTCTTTGCGAGGAATGAATGTGAGAAGAGTAAGAGAAGAGTAAGATAAAGGGAGAGAAAAGTGTGTATGTGTGTGTGTGTGTGTGTGTGTGTGTGTGTGTGTGTGTGTGACGTGTGTGTGGTGTGTGTGTGTGTGTGTGTGAGTGAGTGAGTGAGTGAGTGAGAGAGAGAGAGAGAGAGAGAGAGAGAGAGAGAGAGAGAGAGGAGAGAGAGAAGAGAGAGAGAGAAGAGAAGAGAGAGAGAGAGAGAGGAGAGGAGAGAGGAGAGAGAGGAGAGAGAGAAGAGAGAGAGAGAGAGAGAATGACACTTACAATGACACTTTCACGCAACAGCACCCATCATAAAGTGCAAAACACCACACGCTCCACGCAATACAGTTGCCGTAATACCAGTGATCAATTGCATATATTTTTCACCTTCCCCTCCTCCCCCCCTTCCCCCCTCCCAAGACGCCGCTACTTTCTCGTCCGGTTGTGTGTTGATGGGTCGTACGCCTGGCAGTCAGGCGAGAGGCAGCGTAGGCAGGATGTAACTGTCTTACGCCCACACTCAGTAGCCTAACTACCCACATAGAATTATTGTTGTTCAGGTGCAAGAGACAGACAGACAAAGAGAGAGAGAAAGGCTTGACTCACTGTACTGTGACTGTCAATGCTAAAGGACAGGGAGATCACCAAAAAATATATATATATTTTTTAAACAAAAAGAGATTATTAGGTTCATTACTTTTATCTAATGAGCTTCATTTAAACAGGATACAAGACAGATCAATTCAAATACATGGAATCACGCTTACAGCAATCAACAAAAAAGAAAAAAAAGGGTTTTCAAAGGTCACATACATACATACAGACATAAACAGACACGAATAGAGACGCAGAGATAAGAGAGACGAGATAAACAACGGAACAGGTGTAATGGCGGTCTCAAACACGAAATTAGTATGCCTCCCCACAAAGCGCCAGGCCAGAGGGAGAGGGAGTGGAGAGGGAAGAGCGGAGTGGGAGAGGGGAGTGGAGAGGGAAGAGCGGAGTGGGGAGAGGGAGGGG